ACATTGTATCATTTAACGATGTTTCCTATGGGTTTTTTCACTTAAGGACGGCAATCCGTGCCTATTGGAACGGATTAACTGATTTCCAATGCATTCCTATGAGAAATGATGTTTCACATAACGATGTTTCACATAACGTTTTTTTTTTTTGGAACCAATTAAAATCGTTATATGAGGCACCACTGTATTTATAAATAATTTCTCTACCTTGTTTGGCATCCAAAGTGAGGTACAATGAAAGCATGGCATAAAATATCCGAACTAGCCCCTGTTTAAGCACAACATTACAAGGTGAAATTCACTGTTAAGAAAGAGGCTTGAAAGAGTGTCTTCTACCCACCTCTGCACCTGAAATTGTTTCCATTGCCTGTCCCTACACAAAACAGAGCAATGTAGGTACCATGGATTCCCTAGGGTGTGTTTGCTCTCATGTGATGAAGGAATCCTACATTACACTTGTTTTCTGTTCATTTTAATCTTTAAATTGTGTTGGCTAATTTGAGTCTCCCCTCTGTAGATTCAATCATGAATTCAGAAATAAAGCTGCACTCTTGAAGGTAGTGAAGGTGCTTACAATCACCCCTGGAAATACTGGGCCTTAACTTCTCCTAGGTATACTACAGTCTCTAATGAACATTGCTAAAAAAGCAAAAGCGGATCTATGCTTCTCATGAGCCACAGTAGTATAAAGATTAACTTATTAAAGCTCACTGCAATGGCTAAACAGCTATGAACAGTAATTTTAAGGGTAAATTTACCCCAATTTTATTAAAGTGCTCCCTGGTTAATTTGTTCTGTCAGGCCCTCATTCCCTAGGTGGCAAAAGAAACCCAAACCCTAAAACAACATTCCCTACTGACAATAACACATTTCCCGGTGAATTATATGTCACTTACTGCTGTCTCTTCATGGATTTCCCTGCTATTCATTAAATGTTTTTTAATGGCTTAGAGTGTCAGGTAATTATTAAGCCATAACCTATACAAAATCAGTCTATTCCAGCTGCTAATGACCAGTTAAACTGCAAGAAGGAACAATTCCATAGGTCTTCACTGCTGTAGGCACCCTACTGAATAGTTTACATAACAGGGATCTTGTGGTTAAGAAGAGTACTGTAGCTCCAGACTGAATGCCCACATTCATAACTCAAGGGGACACCTCCTGGAGGAGACGTAGAAGCAATTTAGGATAACATATATTCTCCGCTGAGTCTGAAGACAGATCGTGTTTTAAGGAAGAAAAAAACCAAACTGCCTTGGAGGTACTTCCCTCTATTGATATATTCTCCGCTGAGTCTGAAGACAGATTGTGTTTTAAGGAAGAAAAAAACAAACTGCCTTGGAGGTACTTCTCTCTATTGTTTTCTTCAAAAACAAAAACAAAAAACAAACCACAAACATCTGGCGAACAAAGGCCATGAGGATATAAAACATTGGCATGAAACAAATTCAGCTCCCCTCAACAGAATCAAGTCCAATTTCTGGATGAAATCCGGTTTTTACAGACTTATGGCTTAAGCTATCACCTGGCACTTTGAGGCATTAAAGAACAGTTATCACATAATGCCAAAAATCCTTTGAGGACACGGCTGGACCAGACTCTCACCCCTTAGTTGGGTGTGTCCGGGACACACGAAGGGTCTACTGCTGTTACACCTAGTGTAGGTACTACTATATTATTGCTGGGTAGTGGACATTCAGTGCTACTAGAAGGAAGAATACCTATCCACAGAAATGGCCTTGAAACAATAACCGAAACCAAGTATTTAAAACTCCATCTGATACCAAGTGAGAGGAGGAAGGCAGAATCCATAGAGGGGGGACTTTAATGCACAAATAGTCTAAACATGTGAGTACTGACCAGCAGTGCAATGGTAAAATCTGGAAGTGTAGGTGCTCATCATGTCAGCTCCCATAGCCTCATACCCTCATGTGGAGAATCAAAACATTAATGGGGTTTTGATTCAATGGCTGTTCAAGACCAAAGCACTCCACACACTTAGCATGATAACAGGGATAGCTTGTAAGAATGCTGTACACTGTTCCTTGGAAAATTATTCTCTCCTCTCTACTATGAGGTTTGCAGTAAACTCAAAAGGGAAGACTGAAACTTTGGGAGGCGGGCGGAGACGAGATGTCATAGTTCCTGTTGCTCAGAAAGTCCCAGGGCTTCAAACTTGCAAGTCCTGGCTCCACTACACCACTGGTATCATCTTTCATTATTTTT